CCGTGAGAGATAACTGTTTTAAGCTACCTCTCATTTGTGCTGATTAAAGGAGGAGGGAGGTTTAGGGCTGCGTAGGCTTCAAGATTCGAGCCAAGTATTTGGTTTGAAGCTTATTTGGCTACTGTTTGCCTCTAATGGATTTCTATTGGTGGCTTGGACGCATAAAACTTTGATACGAGGGAGATTGTTCTGGTATACTGATTTTCGCAATATAGGAAGCTGGATTTGGAAGCAACTAATGAAGTTGAGATCGTTAGCGCGACCCTTTCTATCTGCTCAAATTCGGTCAGGTCTCTCTACTTTATTTTGGCACGATGATCGGTCTGATTTAGGACATTTGATAGATGTTACAGGACCAAATGGACCAAGCGTCTCTGGAATTCCAAGATTAGCAGTTGTCTCTGATGCCTGCTCAGGAGTTTCGTGGCGCATTTCATCTCGAATGCATCCTATATTAGCTCTTCTTAGAGCTTGCCTACCAAGTCAATTGTTTTTTTATGGAGAGCATCTGTTGCTTCTCCTCCTACGGTATTTTCTTCATCAAGAACTTGGAAAGCTCTACATCCTCCTCTCATTACGGTGGATTGGTCCAAAACAGTCCGGTTTAAATCCAGAATTCCTAAAGATGCTTTCATCTTATGGCTTGTGATGCGAGATCGTTTGTCAACGAGAGATCGATTGATCTCTTGGGGTCTTAACATTCCAAGTGATTGTTTATTATATGATTCTGCTCCTGAAACTAAGGCACACATCTTCTTTGAGTGTGATTATTCTGCTCAGGTCTGGAATTCTTTCTTTACACACCATGCTCTTTCTCCTCCACTGTTGTTTGCTCAAATAGTCCAATGGGTCAAGCATCCTTCAAGAAACAAGAAGCTGAGGACTATTTGCAAGTTAATTTTTCAGGCGGTGGTTTATTTCTTATGGAAAGAAAGAAACTCAAGGCACCATTCATCTTCCTCTAAACCGTCACAAATTCTGGTGAAAGAGATACAGGTACTACTAAGAGCTAAACTTATCAGTTTGGATAGACCTTTCATTCGAGGTTGACAGAGGCAAACATTAGCACCTAACCCTCCTCAATTACATTCCTCAACATTCATCTCTACTTGGTTTTCTTTCATTCAAATTTAGTATCTTTTATTGGTTTGTTGTATAATCAATTTTTCATCTCTGTGTTTTTGTAAAATGTCTCCTGTTTGGAGGGATATAACAGATGAATAAAGGTTTCGTTTAAAAAAAAAAATATTAGGTTACATAATCATATTATGCATATATAATGTCGAGCACACGAGACAAGAAAGTTTTACTTAGAAGTTAAAACCCATGGATATTTCTTAATAGATAATTACTAGAATGATTTTGGAAAGTAGGGTAATTACTAGAATGACTTTGTCAAATTTAATAACTTAACACAACAAATAAAAAGACAAAATAACTTTAGTAATGTTTTTTATTAACTAAATTACCATTGCAAAGCCAAAAAAAAAAAAAATAGTTAACAAAGTTTGCAATTTGCAGTCAGGTTTTATTAACAAAGTTTTAGGCTTACCCCGAGTCATTCTAGTGTTCTCCACCGAGTCCGCGATTCCGGCGAGGCGAGGCGACGACGGTGACGGGTAAGAGTCTTTCTCCTCTGTTGTTGTTAGTTTAACCAATTTGGGGGGATAACGAGTTTCGTTCAGTTTGTTCGACAGGTCTTGGGTTCTCGGCGAGGTTGGATTCCGGCGACTGGTTTTGGGTTCTCGGCGAGTTTAGGGTTTCGAGTTAGGGGTCCGCGTACA